GAAGTGGAACTACATTTTTTCATCAGTGGGCATATTTTACCAATTTGCGTTTTTAGCGGAAAAGAGCTATCATACCCTACGTTATAAAGAAGCCAGACATGACATTGGTTTGGGCGAGGATTTTTTTGGAATTCAAAAGCACAGGCAACAAAAGCAAAAAGAGACAAATGGGACTACATGAAACTAAAAAAGTTTCTGCACAACAAAGGAAACAATCAACAGAGTGAAGAGACAACCTGTAGAATGGGAGAAAATACTTGAAAACTATGCAGCTGACAAAAATAATATTCAGAATACATAAGAATGTGAACAACTCAATAGGAAGAAAACAAATTATCCAATTAAAAATGGGCAAAAGACCTGAATAGACATTTCTCCAAAGATGACATACAAATGGCCAACAGGTGCATAAAAAAATGCTCAGCATCACCAGTCATCAGGAAAATGCAAATCAAAAACACAATGAGATATCACCTCACCCCAATTAGAATGGCTATTATCAAAAATACAAAAAACATGGGGCCGGCCCGGTGGCGCACTGCTACAGTGCGCCGCTTGGGAGCGTGGCAGCACTCCCGCCGAGGGTTCAGGTCCCACATACAGACTGACCACTCACTGGCTGAGCGAGGTGCGGGTGCGACACCGAGGGTTGCTATCCCGTTGCCGGTCACGAAAAAAGACAAAAAGGAAAAAAAAAATACAAAAAACATGGGGCCGGCCCGGTGGCGCACTGCTACAGTGCGCCGCTTGGGAGCGTGGCAGCACTCCCGCCGAGGGTTCAGGTCCCACATACAGACTGACCACTCACTGGCTGAGCGAGGTGCGGGTGCGACACCGAGGGTTGCTATCCCGTTGCCGGTCACGAAAAAAGACAAAAAGGAAAAAAAAAATACAAAAAACAAATGCTGTCCTGACTGTGGAGAAATGGGAACTCTTACACACTGTTGGTGGGAATTAGTATGGCCATTATGGAAAACAGTATGGAGGTGCCTCAAAAATTAAAAATAGAACTACCATATGATCGAGCAGTCTCACTACTGGGTATATTCAAAGGAAAGGAAATCAGTATGTCAAAGAGATAACTGTACTCCCATGTTTATTACAGCACTATTCACAATAGCCAAGACATGAAATCAATCTATGTGTCCATCATTGAATGAATGGATAAAGAAAATGTGATATATATACACAATGAAATACTATTCGAACATAAAAAAAGAAATCCTGTCATTTGAAGTAACATGGATGAACCTGGAGGACATTTTGTTAAGTGAAATAAGCCATGCACAGAAGGACAAATACTGCATGTCCTTACTCATTCGTGAAATCTAAAAAAGCTGATTTCATTTAAATAGAGAGTAGAATAGTGGTTACCAGAGGCTGGGGCGGGTAGGGGGGAGAAGGGATGGGGAGAGATTGGTCAACTGGTGCAAAATTACAGTCAGACGGGAGGAATAAGTTCTGGTGTTCTCTTGTACAGTAGGGTGAATATAGTTAACGATATTGTATTGTATATTTCAAAATAACTAGAACAGAGGATTTTGAATGTTCTCACTACAAAGAAATGATATACGTTTGAGGTGATGGAAAAGCTATATACCCTAATTTGATTATTACACAATGCATACGTGTACAAAACATCACTTTGTACCCCATAAATATGTACAATTATGTAATTATGTCAATTAAAAATTAAAAAAACTTAAAAAAAACCAAAAACCAGAATTACTTTCTTACTCTTTTTTTTTAAGAATAAGGTTTTTTTTTTTTTTTTTTTTAGACGGTGGAGCTTATTTCTATTTTCCTATGTCTTAGTTTTTAAAACGCCATGCTGTGCAGGGATAGGCTTCAGAAAGTACCAGTTGGTATTTCAAGCATAGCTGTTCCATCCAACCCCCACAGCCAGCCACCCAAAAGGGAACTGCAGTGGACTATGCTTTTGTGGGTCAGTAAAACTAATCAGGGGGGGTTGCAAAACTTGACTTTGAATATGTACTTTCCATGTCACTGGGTTAATATTACAGATATTTACAACAATGTGGTGGAAAAAAACACTAGATTGAGAATTAGGAACTATAAATACTCTAATCCTAGCACTGACTCAGGGAGTTTGGGGCAAGTCACTTCCCATCTTTAGCTCTTGGTTTTCTCAACTAAAATGAAAGTGTCATACCAGAACTCTTTCAGTTTGAGAATCATTTCTGATTCTCAGGGGAATAACCTAGGCATTGCTATGGTTTCCTCCAAAGTGGACACACCCCCTGACATGCCATTTCATTCCCATAGCAATGGCTCTGTTTGGCTCCACTTGCCTGTAATTCTTTAGCAACTGCTGCAGATAGGAGGTTTCAGGGCTTTGTTGAGGGGGCAAAGTGCTGGCTAAATTCTTTCCTTCTGTTACATATTCTGAGTTTTTTCTAAAAGTTCTCTCTACTTCCGTGAGTTCCCAGTAAATGTCAGTAGAGCGTATAAGTCAGCAAGAAAAACAGGTACATGAGTTTTAGTTTATTAAAAAAACAAAAACTAACATGTAAATTAGATTAGATGGGCATTTGGTCCCACATCAAATCTCATTTACGAGTGGTTCTTATTCGAGGTCTCACACAACCGCCACACAGGCTGCTATAGGAGAGTGTAAAAGTGCTGGCCTGGGACTTAGGACGCCAGCTAGGCCCCACTAGATTGATGTGTGACTTCCAGCAAGTCCCTTTCTTTCTCTGGGCCATGGTTTCCTCATCTGTATAAGGAGGAATTTAGACTACTGTCATGGGTTGAATTTGCGTCCCCCCCCTGCCAAATTTATATGCTGAAATCCTAACTCCCAGTACTTCAAAGTGTGACTTTACTTGGAAATAGCATTGTTACAGATGAAATTAGTTAAGATAAGGTCATAGGGAGTAGGATGGGTCCCTAATGCAATATGACTGGTGTCCTTTTAAAATGGGGAAATTTGGACACAGGTACAGACACAGGGGAAGAGAAATGTAGAGATCAGGGTAATGCTTCTACAAGCCAAGGAATATCAAATATTGTCAGCAATCCACCAGAAGTGAGGAGAGAGGACTGGAACAGATCCTTCTATCACAGCCCTCAAAAGGAACCAATCCTGCTGACACCTTAGTCACAGACTTCTAGCCTCCAGAACTGGGAGATGATTAACTTACGTTGTTTAAGCCACTGAGTTTGTGGTACTTTGTTACAACAGCCCCAGCAAACTAATACAACTACATCAGTGGTTCTAATCTTTTACCACCAAGAAACCTTTTGTTCTTTGTCCTCTTGTGGACATTCATTTATTTAACAAATATTTATCAAGTGCCTACTATACACCAGGCCCTATTCTAGGCATTAGGGATACATGAAGTCACAAAACAAATACCCCTCCCATTGTGTTCATTCTGTTTTAAAAGATTCAGTCTACAAAGTATACTATGGTTTATATAGTTTAGTGATAATTTGCATATTTTCTAATGAGATAACCAAGATTACCTCATCAATGTGATGTAATTAGTGCCAAAAATAAAAAAGATGATGTTTTAAGTAGCTTTAATTTACGCCTTCTAGCAAGTAAATACACTCAATTCATTAGGTTTTTTAAAATACTGAAAATTTTTCTCAGAACCCCCATTACTATGTTTAATGATCCACAGAGGTTCAAGGACCTCATTGTGAGGTAATTAGCTAGAGCAGAAGGCAGCAAACTTTCCTGTAAAGGGCCAGATAATATTAGGCTTTGTGGACCATACAGTCTTTCACAACTACAGTCAGACGCCACATAACAATGTTTCAGTTAAGGATGGACAACACATACACGACGATGGTCCTACAAGATTATAATGGCTACACCTTACAGCCTAGGTGTGAAATAGGCTGCACCATCTAGGTTTGTGTAATTACACTCTGATGCCCGCACAAGACATTGCGTTAAGCGAATTTCTCAGAACATGGTTAATTGACGTATGACTGTACTGAACATTGCTTTTGTAGATGACATAAACGAATGAGCATGGCTGAGTTCCAATAAAATATTATTTGTGGACACTGAAATTTGAATTTCATATAATTTTCACGTGTTGTGAGAGGTTCTTTTTGCTACCACGTAAAAATGGAAAAACCATTCTTAGCTCACAGACTATAGAAAAACAGGTGGCAGGCTGTATTATTTGGTCCAGAGCTACATCCTCCCTAATTCTGCTCCGAGTTCTTACATTAAGTGGTTCTTATCCACACAAGGGTCTAGATGAGGCCCAAAGAGGGATTATTTAGTTTGAAGTAAAACCCGGGCTTCCTGCTGCCCATCCACTGTCCTTTCCAGCGCTCTAAGCTGCTCGTTTAGTCCTGATTTCAGATGTGGTCTTTGTAATCCATGTGGTGCGGAAAATAGATGTGTGGTCAGCGGCCCTTTCCAGGAGTTGACCATGTAAGGGCTGTCCTCTTATTAGCAGCCAGTGGCAACCTAATTTTGTCAAGCCTGACCCCAGGCTTACGCACCCTTTTCGTTTATATCTTTCTCGGGTTGCACAGGCCTGGGAGGCCCATCTGTCCTTACTATTTGAGTCTCTGTTGTCTCATTGGCGGCTGAGCAGCTGCAAAATGTTTTTAACTTTAAGTGGCAGTTGGGGTCACCGGCACAGGGCCTGGAACAGTCACTCTCAGCAAGGGTTCTTTCAGCTCTGATTTTTGTAGTTTCATGGACTCGGGTGAGTGTTAAATTAACTCCCCCCAGTTTCCCACGGCTGGACTTCCACCGCGGGGAGTAATTAATGAGGGGTTTGCTCAAGGGCTGTTGGAATAACGTTCATTGCTTTTTTTGTGTTGTTGTCGTCGTCGTAAACTGCTCAGTTGCCTAGCACCACAGCCGTCTGCCTGGTCATCCTTCCTCGGGGCTCAACTGCTCAGGTGGCCTCGCAGCCGAAGCTCGGCGACGGGGACCGAGACGGGACGAGAAGTTCTCGTGCGAGCTCAGGGGGCGGCGGTGACACCGCCCACCCCAAAGGACCATGCTACGCGGCAAATCCCGGCTCAATGTGGAGTTGCTGGGCTACTCGCCCGGCTTGCTCCTGGAGCACAGGCCGCTGCTGGCAGGGCGCGCGCCGCGGAGCCCCC